ACGAATTTTATTTGTACGAGTTTTCTCCCATTTAAAATTTTGTGTATTATTAAAAGAACATTAAAGAATTGAAAGGTAAATGAAAATTTTACTTATCTACTATATAATAATGCTTAGAAGGTTTATTTTATTTACGATCCAAGATATGTTATTATCAAAATAAATTAGTTGGTGTAATTAAATACGTCTTAAAAAAAATTTCCTGTAACTTGTGAGATGACTGAGTAGATATGTATATTCCGTAGATATATCTATTCCTCATTTTATTTTGTACTGTCCTATATTTTACTTTGCCTAAATGCAACAATAATAATACAAATAAACATTGTACCTAAATAATCCAAACAGGATTCCTGTAAGTTAATAATAATAATACGTGCATAGAACAAGAGATTTTACTATCTTTTACTCACACACAGCATAATAGACATACATATTTGTGTTATTATAAAATAATATTTTCATATAATAATATGTATCTTCCTTTATACTTAATATTATTATTACCTTTGCACATTTTTTATTTAAGGTACTTGTATACTTATTATACCTATCCATTTTTGTGCAGTAAAGTGTTATTATTATAATAATAATTATCGTATAGGTTAAAATTTTCTTACAGTCAAGAATCAACTCAATATTTTATGCATTTAGTTGTAACATGGATGAGAACGTGTAAAGATTTTAAATTAATAAACTGACTGAGATTAGAGTAAAATATTTCGTTTGCTTCAGATGAAAAGTTTAAGAAAGCTCCATAAATGTTGGGTTATGTGTTTTACTACATTTCAAATGAGGGATAATATTTTTAAACACTTGTATTCAGCCTTTTTTTTAACGTCCCACTGCTGGGCACGGGCCTCCCGTGGGTCCACCTAGCTGGCCAAGTGCGAATTGGTGGACTTCTCATGTTTTTCGAAAACATGCTAGGTTTTCTCAGACATGCACGTTGCCTCATAATATTTTCCTTCACCGTAAGGCAAGTGGTAATCATGTTAGAAATGATTCGCACATGAAAATATCGGAGGTGTAAGACCCGGGATTTGAACGCGCTTCACTCGGTTTCCCAAGCGAGCGCGTTACCACTGGGCTACCACTGCCTTGCCTTTAAAAACTTATTTACTTCAAAATAATTATAACTGATTAGTATCAATCGATATTTCAATTTTAGCTCTTTTAATACTTGTTCCAAAAGATATAATTATCTCGTTTAAGTTCTAATAGTAATCACAACTCATATTTTCGTATTCTCATAATAACCTCCGAATATTTTAGATCATTGGAACGTATAATATATTATAATTAAATATAAACTCAAGGTCGATACTATATGTGGCAATAGATGCTCTTTCACACCAAAATCTAATGGCGCAAGATGAATTAATAGACCTTTTTGACTCATCAATTAAGTTCTATCGCAAGTATACTATAATTATTATAACTCAGCATCGACGTTGCATACAAGTTTTTAAATTTTGTAATGTTGTTCGTTACTAAGATAAAGATATTTTTCCAGACGTTTACTTTGCCGTAAAACGGTCGACTCTTTATTGAACTTATAACGTGGAAATGGTATGTGTACGCGAATAAAGAAGAGAAATATTTTTTTTAAATAACACAAAACTTATTCATTAATCCCATTAATATTATAAATATGAAAGTTTGGATGGATGGATATTTGTTACTTAATTACACCAGAACTGAACGGATCATCCGGCACAGAGGTAGATTATATTCTGGAATAGCACATAGGTTACTTTTTTTTCCGGAAAGACATACGATTCTTGTGGGATACATTTGTTTTTGCTTTTCACTAGGGACGAACCCGAGCGAAGCAGGGGTGAGTTGCTAGTATAAAAAAAACTACAGTATAAACGGTCATAATAGGAAGTTTTGGCACTGTACCGTTAGTATAACTTTATTGGTTGTTTTCAGCATGCACAAGAAAGTAATATGTTATATGTATTTCGTCTAACCCCATATACCTAATAGAAATACTTTGTCATAGAAAACCTTTCTATATTACTATTCTGAGGTCGCATCGCCTTGTTAAAGCTAAGCGAGTCTGCGAAATGCAAATACGACTGATTCGAACCGGTCTGGTCTAAACGATAAGGCGCATGATAGTAGATACGATCTCCACGGGACATGATTAGCGATGGTGTATTGTGCCCACCCCTATGTTAATAGGATAATGTGTACAAAAAACCGACGACGAACGATAAAACGCTCTGTCCCCATAGTTGTCTAGGATTGTAGTAAATCAACAATCAAAATTTTATGAAGGGGGCATCTGTTACGTTGTACTTTTTAACCCCAGTAGTTATTGTTGTTGCAATGTTAAATATATCTGCTGTTGGAAGATAACCTTTGTTATTTTAACGAACGATTTTAATTATGATGAATTTTCGGTTTAAATTGGCTTATTTTTATTATTGCAATCTTATTGATTGTAATAGTATAATCTATGGTAAAATCTATGATTTATCTGCCTTTTGCCCTGCGTATAGGCTTATCAGAATTAGATAATTTAGACTTGGGACAAAATGTAACCTGTGCAATCTTCATTCAACAGATATACAAAAAGTGTTGATGTATCATAGTTAAGATTAATAATGTACCTATATCCAAAATAATATCGTGAATTCTTTAAAAATATTTTTTATGAATTCTGTTTTCAGATTTTTATAAAATGTGGAAATGAAACGTAATATTCTTTAAATGTCAGTTACGTTTGGAAATATCCGGACGATCCAGCCTAGTCCCGAACAGCTGGTAACCCTACCGCACGCCATACGCTCGTAGCTCTACCAGTCGAGCTGAGCGCGACCCGCCACGCGCACCTCTGCACGCGTCCGATATTACCGAAACGTACGAAAAATATATGGTACTACTCATATTATAAAAATTATTGTGAACAAGTGCCCAGTGTCCAGTGTTTGTATTATTTAATCTCGTCATTACGGTCGTTATCCTCTAAACATGAATAAATAAAACCGGTGTATTTTGCTCATAAATAATGAGATAATCTCTATTTTGTAAATAGTAGGCACATATATACAACGACAAATGGTTGACTTTCCTGATTTGTGGGAATTCAAAAGCAACAGTCATTCTGTCATCATATTCCTCCTAGTATCATAAATATTATGAGGCAAAACCTAAATCTATGTAGAGTAGGTAGTCATGTAGTCATGTTCTTACTAATTTACATGAAAACTGTAATTTAAGTGCTCATTTCGTAAAATATAATTAAATAAAGTTTATAATATTAAATATTAACATCAATATAATATTATGATAACTTATGTGGTGCCGGAGTTCGTTGACTATAAACCTGGTTTACAATCCTTGATAATCCATTGCAACTTGTAGCTGCCATGCCTTCAGGCAGTCAGGCACTTTTAAGTCAAATCTGTTGGGAATATTGCCATAATGTCTATCTGAGGCCAACTTTCCGCTGCAGTGTTCACGGAATTACTATTCAAATTGCATTCCGTTCAGGAAACGTGTAGCAAACGTTCTTTAAAATATATTTAAAGGTGTACATATACAAGTTTAAGTTTAAACGTTGTAGGTCTGCAGGGTTTTAAAAAAACTATTTTTAGATTTGTAAATGTAAATCTTACTTTAAATTAAGAAAAATCTAGTTTTTAAACAGACCATAACTTAAAAATACACTGAGTAACAAAGTTGTTTTGAAAGGGCATTGCAATAGTTTTGTGTAATTCTTGTATCTCTAGAAACACAGAAATAAATTCATTTTTTATTAATTATATAAATAAAGAAAGTAAAAATATCCGATGTTTTCGTTCATTGACCGTAGTTGGCAATGTTTTTGTTAGCCATATTGAGGTAGCAATCTTAGCTCTCAACGCTTCGTTAAATCAGTTTTAGTGCCTTTGTTATTAGATACCATTCGTTACGCTAACGCCTATTCATGCACTCGCAAATAAACCGATAGTAGTATTTGATCGTACAAATAACTATTACTTATAGTTTAAGGTCAACAGTGTGAATTGGTTACAGTCTTAAAATATTTTAGTTATACTAATTATAATTTAATTATGATAAATGCTCAGTATAATATTGAACACATTACATTCATAGCACATGCACTTTAAATATTATAGAGTTGTTGTTGAAAATTCTATGTCTAACATTAAGTTATTAGGTATTCATTTCAAAACAGTAAACAACCAGATAAATATTTTTATAAGTTCGATTAGAATTATTGGTTCGTTTTAAAGACAATCGCTGCCGGCGGCGCGGGCGTCACGAAGCTAATCGCATTCAATTCATTCGGTTTTCTTTAGGAAAAACAAGTTTATATGATAAAGCAATAGGGCGTAGAGCTTAAAGCACATTTGAAAGTACTTCCTATACATCGTATTCCAGCCATCACGAACCCGCATCTGTTATTATCAAGCCGCTATAACAATTTCAGAGGACTTACAAAATAATTGCGTTTGAAGGCACGACTTTACGGCATTGAACTTTTATTCACTTACGTAAGTTATTTAATAGAAAAATAGATTTCACAGAACTCTCTCGTAAAGTATCATAATAGTTAAGTGCATTCTTTTTATTGACTTTTTACATTCTAAGGGTTTTTTATCTATACCGGATGTTACATGTTTGCTTGTTTGCAATAATGTAACAATTTGTACATATTATATAGTTTAATGTATAAACTAATAAAATACCAAGACAATTAAAAATAGATACGAGCAAGTGTAGTGTAATAATCACAATATGAACTATTATTATATACTATAATCTGAACGGCATTAGGTAAATTAATTTGCGATATAGGTTAATTAATACAAATATTTTTTAACTAAGTAGAAATGTAAATGATGTAAAATGTTTATACAGTTGCGGATATCGACCGTAGTGAAATTCAGTGTTTTCATTTTCCTTAAAAGTGGGTCATGTTTTCTGTTCTAAGTGGTGAAAGACAATCTTAGTATTTTAACTAGTGATGGTGTTTATTTGCGATGCCAGATTGGCGATACAACGTTCTGTCGACGAGCGAGGCGTATATAGACGACGAAGGGGGTCCGCCTCGGGATCTCTTCGCTGCCAGTTATCCACGCCGTGCTGACCGCTCTCGACCACCTTATACTTGCCCATATACCACAATTTTTCTCGGAACGCGTACACATGTCCCGTATCGTTTAACACCTTTACAGAGTGAAAATGGCGACCCATACGCTGATGCATACTCAGTCGATCGTTCTTCTAATCTTACGGACACGTCAAGTTTTGCTCGCTACGAAGACTGTCGCTCACAATTGGAAGGTTCCTTGATACCAAAAAGAGATAGTGAGAAATCAGATGGAAATATAACATTACAAGTTCAAAAAATACCATATAATTCCGGGGTTTTCCATGTAGCACCAAAATCAGAGCAAGTAAAGACTGTGCAGGGAAATAATCTGTTTTCGGGAGAAGAGTCAGACTCAGATGTATTATCCTCTTGTACTTGCGACAGCTTTGAACGATGTGAATTCGATTGTAGAGACTTTGAACCGTTCTCGGACACGTGCTGTTGTGACCCGCTTAGTGACGGTGTTTGTAGTCGTAGCCCAAAAGAGGTCGATTCCCCCGAACATTTTTGTGATAGAGTCGTGGAGGAAGATCGTGTATCGGCGCGAAGTGACATGGATGGTCTGGATTTAACTCTCTTTGAACCAGCTCAGACTGATTCTAATGATTGTAGAGATGAATCTACCGATCAAAACGGAGCTGCTGTTGCTGCAACTCTGTGTGGAGTCTTATATGCATTACCACATATAGAAAATGGTAAGCAACATTTGTATTTATTAACATAGTTGTATAAATTATAAAATTATTATTGCGGATCGTCTAATAACTAGAATTTGGAACAAAGTGAACCGTACACCGGCGCACTTGACAATCGTGTGGTCAGCTCCAATCATACTTGTATTGGATACAAACAACGGTGTGAGAAAATTACTATCGCATCAATCACTAGCATTCATTGTCATAGCTGCGATAACGAGATGATATTGTCAAGCGCTACCGCCATAAGGAGGCGAAACGATGGTGCAATTTTAATACAACTAGAATGTCGGTAGAATTACCTACTAATATTATGTTTTAAAAAATGTAATGTTTTTAATCGTTGTCTTCATATTTTTATATTTAATTAATAAGAAACAAGTACCTACTTACAAAATATAAAGTTATTTATAGTGGTTCAATAATGACGGAAGTAGGCGCTTTATAGGAGTAGCGCTACAGATTGCGTACCGTTACTCGTAAGTTTCTAATTACTGCTGTAGATGGAAAGAGATTGTTAACTCACATGCAAATCCGATAGATTTTGGACCAGATAGTAGTACAAAACGTTGTTCTTGCATTTATTATATACTTCCTCGTTACCACTGTGAAAACATATGTACGTTCGTTTAACGGTCGCTAGATTTACGAAGTGTAAATGTAAAAAAATTCGACAAGCGAGTGCGTTAATGTAAATTTACGTCTAATTATTTTCGTGAGAACAAAATGCTATCTTTAGACTGGCCGTTACTTAAAGCAAAGTATTATTATGTGAGCTCTGGATCTTTCAAATATGCTTTAATATGAGTTGAGGTAACTGGTTTATCTAAAATCTGGTCTTAGTTGGGTCATAAATATTATGATATTTTTAAATTGTAATTGGTAGTTGTATAATGTCTAGTATAAAAATAGTAGCAGCTTGTTCTCTTTTCTTTTTGAACAATTTCAAAAAATAAAGCTACTTAATTAGGCTGTATTTTGTGTTTGTGTGAGTGTTACGCGATATCTTCGTTAACTGTGAACCATTTTGCATAATTGTTTTTGTTTTGAATATGTTATACCTATGGTACTACCATATAAGTTTAAGTTTTTATTTTAATTAAGTAGCCATGTGTTTTTAAAAAGCCACCTAAGTTCTGAAAAGTGCTTAGTAGGGCCTCTTAGTCAACGCGATAAGAATTAATTAATATCATGTTTCTATCGGTGCATTGTACTATAATATAAGGTTAAGGGAGTATAATATACTTCCTAAGAATTTTCGACTTTTACAACGACCAGTCATCGTATGTACATGTACAATGAATATATATTTTTTTAGGGCATATAGTTTTAAAATTCTTGAACATTAAACACTTTTAACGCGTTTCTATCTAGGATATGACCTATAAGAATCCATTGCAAACATTGAAATCCGTTTTTTAATTTTTCAACTCTTATTTATAACAATTTGGTCAAGCTTTTAGATTATGATATCTTTTGGGATGCTTTATTTACTGTAGATTAATTTTAAGATTTTGAAATGTTTCAAAAAAGTCATTCATACCATTTTCATAAGTGTTTTAAGTATATCGAAATTATATTTTTGATGACATTTTTGAACCTTTACAGAAGGTTTATACTGAAAAATATATTTGCTTTAATATACCTATATAGCTTGTTCCAGAATATTTAAAACTGTGTTGGACCTACAATTGCATTAATAAGTATCATATCTGAGAAAGTTTGGAAGTGAGTGTTTTGTTTGTTTGTTAGTTGTTACTACTACTATATTATAATTTCGATATATAAATTAAGCTTATCGGATTGGAATAAGAATAAAACAACAAAATGTACATTGGAAATGTCCTTGAAGTGATATAACAGGTATCTTTTAAAAACCATACCCAGAGCTAAATTATATGATTTCATTCAATTGATAAAGTCAACGAGTTTTACAATTAAAATAATATATACGTTTTAACCCTGTAGCTTTCTCCGTAAATACGTTAAGTATAGCACAAATGTTTATACTTACACGGTCGGCCAGGCCACGGTCACCCGTAATTCTTTTTTAACAATGAGAGTAAGCTCATATACAGAATCATTGTTCCGCAGTATAAATAATGTCACGTCAGGGCAATGTTTTTCATATTATTGTTTTTTTACTGGGATTACTTTAAAGTTTTATATTTAGAAACTAGCATTGCCCGCGGCTCCACCCGCGTTCAGATGACCAGAAACCAAATTCTTAGGTTTTTCATATTAAGTAAACTCTTACATTGCAGGTTTTGTAATTTTTCTCAGAAATGAGATATTTTCCCGTGGTAAAAAGTACCCTAAATATTGACCCGGATAACCAGCTATCATCATACCAAATTTCATCAAAATCCCTCCAGTGGTTTTCCGTGATACGGTAACAGATAGACAGACAGATATTCTTAAAACTATAGATTCGGCCTCCGTATCGAAAATAATGACTATTTCAATAAGATTTTCCAAAAAATATTTAATGTACAGATTTGGCTTAGTTACAATTTTATTATATGTATACATAAGCTCATCGTATAGTGTTAGTTATTACAATCGTCTAACACGTATATTAGTTACAGTGACAGACTTTACTCATGTGCGAAATACGTTTTGAACGTAGTAATCTTCTGTACCTAATTTAAACGGTAAAACAATATATGACCGAGCTGACTAAAGTTACTACCAGTTAATTCCAACCAATTGTAGGTTTTTATATTGTACAAAAGAAATAATAGATATTAATTTTTTAGTAGACTAAAGGACTGACGTTCAAAAATAAAAGTATTTTCATTAATTGAAAACTACTTACTTAAATTTTTAAAGCAGTAAAAAAAATTGTATTACTTACTATACAATGTAAAACAAGTGGTTTCAAAACAAAAGCACTAAAAAGTAAAAAATAACTGATTGGTAGTTTTCATTTACTATACATACCTAATCAAATATTTTCGAAGTCGGTGTGCTTTGCTTTGTATGGGCTGGCACCGATTTCGAAAATATTTCATTAGGTATGTATTTAATAGGTAGGCTTTAATTACTTAGCCAAAGCACACTGACTTCGAAAATATTTGATTAGGTATGTATAGTAAATGAAAACTACCAATCAGTTATTTTTTACTTTTTAGTGCTTTTGTTTGAAGTCGGTTTTTATTTTTTTGTTAAAAAGTTTTTATTTTTCCCTTTTTAGTGTAGACAGTAGTAGCATAGTAAGGATTCTAACGTGTTAGGCTTGTCAAATCAAACAAAATAAGCCCAAACTCAAAGTATCTACTATTAGCCGTTGAAGAGTTCCGCCTATACCCAGTTCCCACCTTCTGGCCTTGCCATCTGATCAGGTCAATAACACCAAACCACTGTACTATCAACGGAAATAGAAATACTTGCAAAGTTTCAAGTCAATATGACAATTAGAAGTAGGTTAAATACATCATTAGTTGTTTTTCCACCCTTAGGGGTGGTATTTTTTTTTGAAATTTAAATGGGACCAATCTAGAAGTATACCCTTTCAAACAAAACAAAAATTGTCCAAATCGGTTAATAAATGACGGAGTTCTGAGGTAACAAACATAAAAAAAAAACATACAGTCGAATTGAGAACCTCCTCCTTTTTGAAGTCGGTTGAAAATGAGTACACAATATGTACATTATTCATGTAATTATTTGTAATACTAATGTTTAAAATGAGAGTAAAATAAAAATACTTCAAATAACATTTTATACTATACCATATTAAGCATTATCAAAATTAATTAAAATACGAACTAAATCAGTTCACTATAATTATATACCGTAAGCTCAATTCTAGACCCGTATTGTTTCCCACAGAAATTGGCTGCCATTGAACGAATGCCACAATAATGCTTGGTTGTATTATGTTGTTATTTGTCATCACATACTCGCAATATATTTTTTTTACTATTATTATAACTGTAACGTAATAGGTGACCGTAGAAAGCATTCCAATGCGATCATTCCCTACTATACTTTCGGATGGTTTACAGTATATTTGTTCGCGTAGTAGATAATTTTTAATAGCATAAGTTACATTAGACATCATCACGTAATAGTCAGCCCGATTTTGTCCTCTGCTGGAGATATGCACATAGCCTCTCCTACAGTAAGCAACTGAACGCGGTCTTCTGCCCTACATATCCAATCTCCCCTGCCAGCCACTTTACATACGGTACGTCTTACACTACGTTTGCCGAGCCATGATCTCCACTTACAAACCCGTCTATTCTATAGATCGTTCTACGATACCAGCCTACTTCCACTTCAGCTTACTTCCTCTTTGATCATAAAGTATAATCAATTTGACCATTAAATATATTATTGTAAATTCAAAAGCAGCTTTTTTAATAAAAATGGCAAGTCAAGCATCATAATTATTAATTAAATAATAGTAACAGAATTTTATTACACAACATGATAGATGAAAAAACTACATTCTCATGATTTGAGCTTACACCGCTATATCTGTTTATCTAGCACAGAGGAAATTATAGTTATTCGCATAGAAGGTTGACTAAGTACTTACAATATAGCGCAATTTTACTCTTCTTTATTACATAGTTGTTACTCAGTATCTTATAGATTATTATAATTTGTTCATATTTACGAATTAATTTTAATTATTATACATATTTTTGCATATTTATCGTCAAACATTAATGAAATAATAATTAAAACACGAGATATCTTGTATGACTCAAGTCATCTAATCCGAAACCTATGACTCAGGTCAAGCCCAATGGGCTAATTTTTAGGATTTCGTAACCTAAGGGTTCGTTTAGAACTCTATTATGTCTGTATGGTGTATAAAAATAAAATGAAATGATTAAGCGGGTATTTTTTGCTTTTGTTCTGCAATAAAAACGGCAATATATTCAAGCGTTAAAAACCTTTGTGTGTTTATGTATATACGTACCTAATGCAAATTATAAAGTAAAACAACAAATAGGTAATAAAACTGGCAAAATGTGAGTTGCTTT